TTTTTTTTTTTTTTTTTTTTGGGGGGGGGGGCCTTTGGGGTTCAGGGATTCTGGGTTCCGGGTTTCGGGTTGGGGCCTTTGGGTGCCTTGGGTTCAGGGTTCGGAGACCGGGTTTTTAGCTTTGGAGGTTCTGAACTCGGATGCCAATTAATGTCTCTATCTTTGTAGCACGTTGTGAATCCTAAACCCTCAAGCCTAAACGAAGCCCTGCAACCTAAACTCTGAACCCTAACCTCTTGGGCAGGTTTGGGAAAGAGATTCTGTCGCAGTCCTGGCCACTGCAGGCTAAATCCTACACCCCAAAAACCCTAGACTCTTAAACCCTACACCCAAAACTTAAACCAACCCTAAACCCCTTAGCCCTAGTCCCTAAACCCCCAACTCTGGACCCTAGACACTAGACCTTGCCTTTTCTGATCCTCCTTTTGTGTCTCCTGATGTCCCCTGGCTGTAGGACCCTGGCACATCGTCGGCAGACGGAAAGGAGGATGAGCAAGCGGATGTGAAGAAGGAGGCACAGGAGGACCAGGGTCTTGCGGTTCAGGCACTCTGCGGTTTAGTACTGTGGGGTTGGTTCAGGTACCGGAACATGCAGGCCTACTCATCGCGCAGGTGCTTTGCGTTTATGTCTTACGGAAGGCTGAGCTGCGACCTGCTGCATGTGTAGTTGGGGTCGCGTTGTTCAAAGCCCTGGAGGATTCCCCCAAGGATGCGAGGCTACGGAAGCTCATACGCCATGTCCCCAACAGATGCTTCTTGCAAAATATGAGAGCCTTCTTTGGGCTATTTGTGGGGTGGGCCTTGGACCCTCAAACTGAGGTGGAGTCTACGAGAGGAAGAATCCCGAGAAGCTTGCCGACTTGGACGACCTCTTGGCAAAGTATGCCGACAAGCTCGAGCAGGCTCTGCTCGATTCTGAGCGGCGACGCTTGATCTAGTCATCATCCCTATTTCGAATATGACTATTGCATCAACCTGTCGCGATATCAATACGTTGCAATCGTACCATGTATCTTGCAGAATGTATGGATACTTGGCCATATGCTCAACTGTCTTGCTATCAAAAGAGTAGTAGTAGTCGCAAGGATAAACACGGCAATATCAGTGATGAGAACAAAAGATTACTTGTAGCAGTAATAGTAGTAGCAGTAAAAGTAACAATCGACTGCGTTTAAAGGCTTGAGCGGAAAGTCACAACTCGGCAGGCTTATGAGTTTGTCTGCAACAAGTACGGCGAGACCAAGGAGGCCAGAAAGCTCGAATCCCACAGCCTCACTCCGTTTAGGTTGTAGGGTAAACCGCTGAGTTCAGGATTGTACGAATTTCGTGGTTTCGGGTTCAGTTTTTTTTTTTGGGGGGGTGGGATTTTGGGTTTTAGCTTCACCGAGAATTGCTATATATATATATATATATATATATAGCCCGCTGATCAACCCTTTGTCAGGATCTGGATTCGATCGAGCCGCCGCTCACGGTCTTCGACCGGGGCCAAGCCATGTGAGTTCTTTCGTAAACGGGGGCCTCACAATTTTGCGCGGCCAAGCCGGGGGCCAGAAACATCCACCCGAAGGTTTAAAGCGAAGGTTCCCGGATTCATTCCAAACTTATGTTCCTAAGTAAAGTTTTACTACAGCTGCCGGTGCAATTGTTACTTTACAACTGCTTCTGCTACTACTCCGACACGACTGCCAGCTACCACTACGGCTGCGACAACAACTACTCCTGCTACTGCTACTGCTACTGCTACTGCTACTGCTACTGCTACTGCTAGGGCTACTGCTACTGCTACTGCTACTGCTACTGCTACTGCGACTGCTGCTGCTGCTACTACTACTACTACTACTACTACTACTACTACCACTACTACTATTACGCAGTACTAGTAGTAGTAGTAGTAGTAGTAGTAGTAGTAGTAGTGGTAGTGGTAGTAGTAGGAGTAGTAGTAGTAGTAGTAGTAGCAGCAGCAGTAGTA